ACATTAATTCAAGTTAAATCAAGTTACTTGATCCTATACTTGTCTTGCCCTCTTCACAGCTTCCCTGTATTCATTCACAGCTCTAGCACAATCCCGAAAAGTAGAAGGGCATCCCTTAACTCTATTTTTGAACCAAGTAAAAGATTTCATGAATTTTCCTCTACAAACATACCAGCTACCCATTAAGGCCATTTTCTACGTAAAATGCTTGCAACTAATTGGGTGCTAAACATGTAATTATGCGAGGCAAAAAATTTATGTTAGGGCTTCTGATCAAATACTCGAGTTTATATATTTGGACTGCATTGGAAGATGATTAATTTGTTTTCACCTACAAATGTGTCCAAGGATTCCTTTTAACTAATTCTAAACACCAGAGGCAATATTGTTCATTAATCTACTATCTAATTAATAGATGCACCTCAAGTAAGGATACATGCTTCAGAGAGAGTCAAAATGTCTAATGCATTAGATTTTTGCTTTTTCCAAGTAAAATTTTCTTTTTCCCACTTGTAGCATTATTAAGTGATTATATCATTCCTATGCCTCACTACTAGCTTGAACACATAATTTGATCACATATATGAATTAAACACCAAGATAAAGATTAAATAAATAGAGTAAGGATCCACTTTCATATAACTCTTACACATATTAGTTACACGAAATCTTGACCATTCATCTCTCCACCATAAATGATTAAGATTTATGATAACTTTGTAGATGACAAAGAAAATCATATTTAAAAAATAGGATAAAAAGTATATAAATCTCGACCATTCATCACCATTTATAATAGAAAAATGAATGATTATTGTGTAAAAGTTGTGTGTAAGTGAATTCTAACCCATAAATATATAACAAAAATGAGAAAAACATATATAATTACTCAACACTTGAAAAGCAAACGCTTAGCAATGACAAATTAACCATATAAAATGAAAATCTAGTAAGTCTAATAGCATGTAGCTAAGAAAGTAAGGAAGATTTCTATGTCTCATAAAAGCATACATTCACAGATTCCTTCTAACACACAGGCAACATTTACTTTAATTAGCCATGCACCAATGAATTTCTTAGACACATATCTATAGGATATATACTACAAGAAATTAATGATTTCATAACTACTTTTGTAGTCTCAAACTTTTATAGCAAAGATTGGAGGGTTTAAAACAATTCCTAAAGCAGATGATAATACACCATCT